TTCTGTCTAAGTGCTCTGGTATGCATGCCTGGTTAGCATTTCTAGTTTCAATGTTTCCTGAGAGGAAGTAATTCAAAGTGTGTTATCTAAACAACTCTAATAGGTCTAATCCAGGAAACTATCTGGGTTTTACTGTTCATAATACCATTCAGAATTAATACCCCATGGTAAAGCAGCATTTAAAAATACCACGAGGAGATTCCTTTTCTGAATTGTCAAGATAGAAACTAGAAATAGTATTTTAAACTAGGAATGATGGTTATGATTAAGCTACATTCTTAAAACAACAAAACAAAACAAAACAAAAAACTCCCCAAAGAACACTAATGTTTCAGCACCACTATTTTTTATTACCTGAGAGGATGACCATGGGATGGCCGATGAACGTAGAACAAAGGCTACTAGTAAGCTGTTTTTGTCTTTTAAAAGACAAATATGATCAGAAGATGGCACTCAGTAAAATAATGATGACAAGAATAGAATCATAAGCAGTTGAAAACCTCTCTATTAATGTATTTTCAAGGCCTTGTCTACAGTTTGTTCTGTTCAAATGATTGAAGAATGTAACATGACATATGTTTAACTTAACTATGTATGACAATAAGATACAGACTAGTTGGCAGAAGAGGTAAGATCTTTAGTTCTTCAGCACTTTTTCAGATGGCAACTTTAAGTAGGGTAACTAATATGTTAAGATAAAAGGCACACAAATTGCCTCAAATCTATGACTCTGGTGGTGGGGGGAAACCTAGCTGATTCTCAGTAACTTAGAAGCCTTGGAAAAAATAGAAAACAGCATAAATTTGTATGAATCATTTTAAACTTTTGCTTATTCAATCAGTGACACATTTTAGCTACTTCAGCATATCTCTAACAATTCTTCAAGCTACGATGCAAAACCCCAACTCTGGTCTTGTTTCTCTGTTAATAGTAGTTAATATTTTTAAAATTCTGAGTTAACACTTTACAGTAGTCTATTTTAAGGGGTCGATTTTGACACATGCTAATCTAATTAGAAACTGCACCGATGTTGATAGAGAGAAAACATTGTTAACTTGTAGGATTTTATTTTGTAAAATATTGGCATGGCACTCGGGTATGAAATAAGATGTAAAAATCAACGCATGTAACATTCATAAAGCTGCCAAATCCTGTATATCAGACCATAAGTGTTTCACATATAGAAAAACAGAAGGATTTGGCTAATAATTATTAAACACATTTAGATTTTCAAAAAAGAAAACAAATTAAATGTATAAGCTATTGTGCCAATGTGAAAGGACGTTCCGATCACAAATGTGAGCCTTATCTCAAATCCACAAATAGAATGTGAGGGAGAAAAAATAAAACTGGATTGAATTAGGAAACATGGCTTTGCTGCTAAGTAGTTTTGTGGCTTCTTGTGAATCAATGAAGTCAGCTAATATCTGTTTCTTAATTTCATATTCGTTAAAAGAAGGAGTAGGACTAGGCAATGTAGAAGGGCCTTTCCAGGTCTAAAAGTTAATGATTATAAAAACTCAACATCTGTAAACTTCTGTCCTGCTGGATTATTTATAATTTTTTATTATTTTACTCTTGGTCATTTTTCTCAGAGTTGAGAAACTCAGCTACCACTTAAATTCTCTGAATCTTATGATTTTTTTTTCCTATTAAAAAAAGACAACCCTGAAACCCTTTGTCACACACTACAGCAGCTTTGCCACTAGACACTGACACCTGTGCCAAAAACAGGTGCCAAACCCAGTAATCAGGAGCTGATATGCAGGTGGCAGGACTGCCAGCTCAGCTCCTGCCCCAGACCACATGGTAATGGTTCTTAAGAGGTCTGAGCACGCTGACGTGGTGACTGTGCTCCACATCTGATAGAAATCTCACAAGTCCTGAGTGGGGCACTTCCCCAGTTGAGACAATGCAAACTTGTTATTTTGCCTCTGGGGAAATATCTATGCTGGAACAGCTGAAAACTTGGACCTCGCTAGCTAGAATGAAAATAGCAACACTATAGCATCCAGATTAGGGTATTTGGGTTCCCTCTGATTTGAGAGCAGTAATTTTAATGTAGAAAGCTTGTGGGTGACAGCAGTGAAGTCAAGATACCTTTTACCCAGTTAAAGAGACTTGCATGTCACCCAATGCCAAATTGAAGGCTGCCTTTCTTTCTTCTCTCTCCACAAATGTCACAGTAAAGACAGAACTTAAATTAAAACTTAATTTTTAGTCATTATTTCGATGGCAGAAAAATATATGTGTGGGAAAATTTCTCATCATTACTGGGCTGAGTTTGAAAGGCAGGAACACATTTTAAAAAATTCACGAAGTACCAATGTAGTACATTCCTGAACAGTATTTGAAGATGGAGTATTTTGAAACTCCATGCTATCAATGATGATATCAATGATGTACTGAGTTCTTAATATTAAGACACTGGGTATAAAGTACTAAATAAGAGTAAGTGAAAAAGTGTGTGATGGGAAATTTCTAAACAATGTGCCTTTCGACTATCATGATGCCAGTTAGCTATCAATTCTTAACTGCAAGTTATTCCTTTTGTTGTTTAATCCCTTTGCATAATTTATGCTGTATTTCAAGTAGAGAGGAGAGAGAGAAGTTTTCCAAGGAGGTATGAATACTATCTTTTAAAAAACTGCATCATGGATAATAGCTATATTTACCTAATACTTAATATTATATAATATTTAATAATATTTACAATAGCTGTATTTATGAAGAAGTTGTAATAAATAAGTTGTACTGTTTTTCATTTTTGTCCTTTTTCTCTGGGTGAAGTAATAACCAAGTATACCATTTCCTTACCTCCACTTAGCTCTCACATTAAACACCGCATATATATACAATCACATGATAATCATTTCTTCAAGAAATGATTTCCATGATTTCCATGATTTTTTTCTTTTGGTCCATGTAGTCTCCAGATATCTTTTCCATAAAGCTCCTTGGTTTATTTATTTATGTGGATGTTTATTCACTAAGTACAAAAATTTTTGTGTATTTCTGTATGCAAATTTCCTGAGGCTCCTTTATTAATTCTTCTTTGAACGGAATCGACTAATGTGTTAATGATTAGTGAAGGCTGGATATGAGGGCATCTTAAAAGTTCATAACTAATAGACTACAGGTACTAACATTTGTGTATGCTAGCACAGGAACTTAACCCAAATCCAATCAATTCTATGGATGCTATAAGCTTGCATTCCATACTCTTATCTGTGCCTCTGAACCTTTTTTTTTTCTTTAAAAATATTATGTGTAAAATACATGTAATATAAAAATTACCATTTTAATCATTTTAAAGGTCAGTAGTGTTAAATACGTTCACATTGTTATGCTTAACTTTTAAATGACATCTCTATACATTTTAATCAATATAATCACATCCTGTTAAAAAAATGATCAAATGATCAAAATGTATTGCTATTCTTTCACTCATGGCCAATTTCATACAAATTCACAAAAATAGCTGCTAGAGGCATCTTTAAAAAATCTTTCACATTAAAAATATGCCACAAAAGACTGAATGTTAAATTTAACACGACGAAATCTTAAAAATCATAAAAAATTTTTATGCTTGATTTCTCATCCTTTATCAGCAAGTAAAATGTTTTCAGAAAAAGAGTTAAAGTATTAGCTTTCCTTTCTAATGTTTTTCTTTCCATTTAGGCAATTCTATATATGTTTTATGGAGAAATTTAAATCATATCAAGACACTAATGGAATAGGATTAACTTCTGGCCAACGAATCTTGGTTAAGTTTAAAAATGAACATGTTCTCACACATCTTCAATGTACATGAATATGAGTCGTTTTGATGACACAGACTGGCTGCTGAAGAATTTAAAAAATTATAATAAATATTTTTAATATAAGCATAATTTGTTTAGTAAAAATTTTCACAATACACAAAATCTTACTCATTTTAATGATAAAACTAAAGAAAGTAAACTATAGCAGCTGTATTTTAGAACTGAAAGGAGAATGACTTAGCCAACTGACTAAAACTGCCTCTCCAGTAAGGAGGCTGTCTTGGGTACTTCTCCACTTTCCTGAGGAGTATGGGTAGAGTGATTCACACACAAAGACACTGTTGCATTTTGGGGCTAAGATAACGTGCAGTCTTTTTTTCACATAGAGTGGATTTCTAAGAAACATGCATCTTGCCCTCTAAATTTTGAAATGTTCAGAGAACATGACTCAGTTGACTTCCTACCAAAATGAAGTTAAACAAAGATCCCTTCATTTTAAACACTTTCTAAAATGTGTTCGTGTGATTGTAGATACTGCTGAAGAAAATGCAGTGAATTTACAGGTAATAAGGCTGGACCTAGTTGGTGGCTTTGATTTTCTGTTTAGTCTCTCTTCAATAGCAAGCCAGCCAAAGGAGCTCACTCAACATGTAGAAGGGGACAGAACTGTCCCTTTAAGGATGCAAAATGAATATTGCACAGTAAATACTATTTAGCTTTTCTCTGATGAACAAGGATCAGTAAATACCTATTGGGCAACATTCAATGTATTAATTTTCCCTATATATACTGATACAAAAAGTCTACAAAGAATTGAATAAATGTATGCTGATATCAGGGCACGCTCTGGAAGTCTCTCTTTTTAAATAAGTGTCTGGTATTTGATTTTTCACATGCCTTTTGCCTGCTCCTACACACGGAGCAATCGGCCTCACAGAAGATTTGGCCAAACAATTGTCACAGATTAGGGAATAAAGTCCAACTTAAAAAAAAAAATTATCTGCTTTAACAATTATCCTAGCAAAAGATAATGCTAATTAAGTATAGTTACCTGTCTGGGCATCAGGTCAGCTATAGCATATGCACTTCTTAAAAGACCAGTTTTGGCCATTGACACCTACACATTAGGAAGATGGAACTTTCCTATGAGGCCCAGATGAGCACTTACTGTATACATAAAGACCTGAAAGTTAAATTATTTTAGTGAGGATAAATATTTGGTTTTTCCAGAGCTACCTTCACGTTGAATGTTATTTCCTCCATGACGTACACGCGTTCAGGAAATGCTTTAGCCACCTCCTCCACACTGTTGAAATATTGCACTGGCTCTTTTATATCTCGGTCTTGTTCCAGCAGCTTGAATTGTCCTAGAATACATGATAAACGGAAGAGATGTGAGATGTTTACACTGGACAGCTGTCACCGTGGTGACAGCATCCCCTTTCCTTACTCCTGCTGTTCTTTGTTGCTGGCTTCTGATCATTATCTTTTTTTTTTTTTTTTTAAAGTTACCATGGCGGAAAGTTTTCCTAAAAATAAGCTTAAAAATGACCACAGACGTGTATTTTTTTTCTTTCTCTTTTTGCTTACATTCAGAGTTTGTTACCAAAGGCCCATAACTGAATGGATGCTCACCTGTAATTTGATGTCAAAGTGAAAACTTAATCTTTATAAATGGTTGCTCATTTTGTTTTTAACAGTAAGTCTCGTCATTTAGTGATAACACCCACACATATTATATTCTAAAACCAAGGCTGAGTGGCCTGGAGAAACTAATATTTTTTAATTAGTGTCTTAAAAATTTGCAAATAGAATGAAATAATACAGTGGACCATCAGCTTTCACAGAAATCCTTGGTTTCATCATTGCTCAGCACAGGGAATGCTAAGGGCTCCTGAGCCGCTATAATTTGTAATGTTGCTGCAGCACAAGTATGAAGCCTGAGCACAAAGAGGTTGGGTGAGGGTGGGAGGTAGTGAGCCTCCTTCCAACAACGAACTGCTTGGTATCTGAAGCAACACTGGGAACTGAGTTCTCAGAATTCTAAACACAGATAACAGCCTACGCCAAGACCCTTGGGTGGATGGGTGGGTGCTTGCTTGACATGCTGCCATGTGGCTCAATGGAGTGAGTAAAGGTAAGAAAAAAGAGAAGTAAAGAAAAGTCAGAGCAATAACAGGTGGCCAGATTGTATATGCCTTTGAAAAAATCTGAGTGGAATGGGGAACCACTGGGGAGAAGAAGTGATCTAATCAGCGTGATTAGAAGAAGTGATCTAATCAGAAGGATCACTCTGGTTGCTGTTTTGAGAGCAGACTGTAAAGGTACAAGGCATAGAAGCAGAGTTAGAAGAATCCTGCAATAATCCAGGCATGAAATGGCAGGGGTTTGGAAGGACAGAGAAAGTGTTAGGGATTTGGCCTGAGCTTCGGAAGGAACGGAGCTTCTATTAACTGAGACAGGCAGGTTTGGAGGGGTGGGGGTAAGATCAGGAGCTCAGTCTGGACAGGTTGAAGTCTGAGATGTCTGTTAGACCGAAACATCCTAAGAGCTCTTAGATGGACTTATAAGTGTGGAGGTCAGGAGAAAGGTCTGGATGGAAATAAACATCCGGGAGTCATCAGCACATAGATGATTCTGACAACCACAATCCTTTAATGATGAGGACCCTGGGCATAAGTGCAGACAGAGAAGAGGCCTCAGGTTTGAGTCTTGAGAGACTGAGAAGGACTAGCCAGGGGAGTAAGAAGAAAATCCAGAAGGAGTACAATCTAGGAGCCAGGTAGGGGAGTAAGAGGAAAATCCAGGAGGAGTGCATTCTAGGAGCTGCATAGGTGATTTGAGTGCTTCAAGGAGCAGTGAGAGTGATGTCAAATGCTGCTGACGGGACTGTAAATGAGGTCTGAGAACTGTTAGATATAGTAGCTTGTATTTAATTGGGAAGCTTGATGTGAGCACTGGAATAGTTGGGCCAAAAGCTTGAGTGAACTCGATTTAAGCGAGAATGATGAAGGAGACCTGGGAATAACAAGGACACCAGATGATGTCTTCGGGAGTTCTGCTAGGAAACGGAGAAGAGATATGGACTGGTAGCTAAAGGGAGGAAGTGAAATGAGACCTAGGGAGTGTTTTTGTTTTCCTAAATATGACGGATGCTGATGAGAATGATCAACAGATGAGAAGAATTACTGGAGCGCATCCTTGCATAGGCAGGGGGACATCGGAGTGGAGGGGCTGGCCTTCTACAGTGACAAGTTGATCAGTGACAAGTTCACTGGCTGCTGGTGGACGTTCCCTTTTATTGCTTCCAGCAAAAGTCAGAAGGAAAGTATCAGTTGAGAATAAGGTTGAGAGAGGAGGTGTTGGAGGGTAAGGAAAAACGCAAAGACTGTAAAAAGTCCAGTGAAAGTGAATACCATCACTGCTGGGCGGCCATAAGTTCCCACGAGGTTCATGGTCATGAATTAAAACAAATAACAGTGAAATCAGACATATGGTTTTGTGTTTTTTCTTCCGCTCATGTATGATTCACAGGAGCTGGCATGGAGCAGGCAAAGATTTGGAGTCAGTGAGGATGGTGAAATTGCCAAGTGAGCATGAGACGTGAGAGAGGGCAAAGGAGTCAGGATGTATGCAAAGGAGTGACTATGACAAGAGTCCAGGGAACTGAGCTGAAGCAACATCTTGGGAGGGAGGGAGAAGACGAAAAAAAGGCAGTGGGATTAATGGATGCTAGGTTCTGATGGAGCTGATTTCTGTACCCTGGAGGGAGTGAGCTCTAGAGCCAGGCAGAGGAGAGTGATCAGTGAGTGGCGTGCATACAACTGAGATAACGGCAGCATGCAGTATTTGGTGATAATGTGGTCTAGGAGGCAAGCATGGGAGGTAAGTCCGAGGTGGTGAGACGCTAAAGGAACTGAGAAGCCAGGAGTATTAGAAGGATCATATATATAAGCACTGAAATCCTCTATAATAAGGAAAGAAGTATTGCTGGAGGGAATGGCGGTGAGCCAGGAGTGAAAATTATGGAGAAATGAGGGAGGAGTCCTGGGCTCGGAAGATTATAATGAGGATGGGGTAGTGGGTGATACGGTTTGATGATAAGATTTAAAGTAGAGAGTTTTTAGGGAGGACTGAAGTGGAATCAATGTTCAAGGTTGCAGTGAAGAGCATAGAGACCAATTACACCCCTTCAACTCTGGGGCAGAAAACAGAGCTGCCCTGGGACGGCTTCAGGGTGGCCGTGTTTTTAGGGCATATACAGGTTTCAATTTAACAAGATGAAAATAATTTCAGAGAAGAGTTTAAGGATATAGGATTTTGCTGATGGACCTCGATGGGAGCGTTTTCAGGAGATAAATGGTAAGCAATGAGGACAAACTAGAGGATGTACCTAGACATAATGTAATTGTTCACATACTTTTTGGAAGTATACAGAGGTATGAATAATATATTTGAAAATACAATCAAAATGTTAACTACATAATTTTTCACAAAACAACAGTTTTTAAAAAATCAAAAAGATTATGGCAATTTCAATATACTTATTTAAAAAAAAAATCTGCCACCAAAACAAACTTTTCATTTGTCTCTATTCTACTTAGTCCATGTATAAATTCTTAATAATTAAGATGAATCTACAGTTTTGTACTCTGTTCCTTCTCATATTTTCCTACATTTGAACTATTTTTCTATTCCTACACAATTAGTCTGAGTTAGGCAGATGCTAAATTGAAGTGCAAACTCTGCCACTTAAGTTTTATGATACTGACAAATTTCTAATCAGTCTGAGCCTTGTTTCCTTGCCTATAAAGATATTTCAAAGGGCTGCTGTGAGGATTAACTGAGATGATGCATTTAAAGTATTTAGTATACAAGTAACCATTTAGCAACTCTCAGCTCTGTTTCTTCTTCTTGAAATAATTCAAAAAGAGTGGGATAATTCAAAAAGAGTGGGATTATTAAATTGAAGGGTATCACACAATTCTTTGTGTTTAACACACATGGCTATACTGCTTTCCAAAATATCTAAACCAATTCATATTTCTGCCAGTAGCCTACATGCATCCTAGTTGGACCACAATCTATCACCACTGGCTATTTTTTTAAATTAGATAATTCAATGGGTATTAAACAACATTCCTTTCACGTGTTAATCTGTACCTCTAAAAATCAGTGAAGTGAAACATCAAATTTTTCTTGTGTAAATAACTGTATAAATATATAGTAAGTATATCTGACACAGTCTAAATTTCACTTAACTACTGGAGACATATCTCTAGGAGTCTGTTGGATATTTATACTTTTAAGTCCCATTAGCTCCAAATTCAACTTGTCTAAACTCAGGGAAGCACAATGTCTCACATGCAATAGGTGATTAATAAATGTTTACTGAACAAAAGACAGAAGATTACTTTAATCCTGGGATTGGCAAACAATGAAGCAATGCATTTGTAACTGCAGGTTTTCAAAGTTATAAATAAAAGGTGCACTATATTACTATACACAGGTTTGTTTGTTTATGAACAGTAGATGAATGTTTCACTCATCAGAGTAAGAAAGCAATGGTGTATTATGCGTCTACTTAAAAATCATGACCTGAATACCGTACAGAACCTCAAGAAATACTTTTCAGGGACCAGTCCAACCGAAGAATAGATTAGATAAGCAGTTGAAATTATCTTCCAGGACGAAATAGACAGTCTTTCATTATCGTGATACGCAAAGGGACAAAAGTAGTTGTCAGTGAAAGTTCAAATTTATAAGTCCATTTTAGGTGGAAAATCCAGAACCATGTGACAGAGACACCAGAAATTTGCCAACATTTCCAATGATCTGTAATTGTGGCTTATATTTTCTAATTTGCTAGAAAGGTTAAGGAAAGAAATGATAGATTTGATACTAGAACGGAATTCAAGCTGTCTATCATTAAACCAGGTATAGTTTAAGAAAACCTACTAATAATATCATTGTTTCCATTACTATGAGCTAACTTAATTTTAAATTTGTGATCAATATTTTAGAAAAATTTTTATAGGATTGGGGGATCTGTATGTATGCTAAATGCTCAGTAAGTGGTCTGCAGATGTTCAATCTCTGAGCTAAGAGATTACCTGAAAGCTACATGGCTTAATACCATTCTGTCCTTTCAGTAATGCATTCATAGGCCAAGATGTGTCATCGCAACCTAACACTTCTGTACCAAATGAGACATTCTCTTAGAGAATAATGCAATACAATGCAAGCTGCATATGCAATTATATATTTTCTAGTAGCCACATTAAAAAAGCAAAGAGGTAAAATTATTATTAACAATGTTTTATTTAAACCAATATATCTAAATTCAATATAAGAATCATTAATGAAA